GAGAGGAGAGGAGAGGAGAGGAGAGGAGAGGAGAGGAGAGGGAAGCCAAAGCCAAGAAAGACAAAGATCTCAGGAACAAACTTAATAAAGAATTTCAGAAAGCTTTGGAAAAAAGGAGCAGCAGCATTACAATGACATCTTTAAAGTCAAATTTTTCAAATTCTTTTTCACAGGTCAGCAACCCAGACTAAATAAAACGTATTAAATAAAATCTATATCTTTAAAGTCACTGAAGGTGGAAATAGACAATGAAACACAAGAAAGTCTTCCAAAAGATCTCCAAACATCTTCCAAAAGATCTCAGAATTGGTATGCTAAAGGACATTAATCCACAGACAGCAACTGATTCAAAGAAGATCAAACAAAGATGGAAGGAATATATTGAAATTCTGTACCATAGAGATGTCTACATCCAAGATACCTTAGAAGATATTCCCTATTTATAAAAACCTGTGGTACCAGAAGATGAAGTTAGATCAGTTCTTTGGTCATTATTAAGTTGTTATCCTTGAGAAGAAGCAGCTTAACTTCCTGACCTTCTGGATAGTTGCAGGAAAGCATCTGGTGACATCATTGGAAGAGGAATAGCCAAAGTTTCCTTCCACTTTTGGAGAGTTTAAAGGATGGGAATGGGAGGCAAAGCACTTCCATTTCCACCCTTAAAAACTGCACAAGTTCCAAAACATGGTTGAAATTTTGCTGACAAAATCCACTGCAATTTGGTAGCACAAGCCCAAGTGCCAAAAGGCTGCAGGAAGCCTGAGGAGTGCTCACCCCTGCCATAAACCATGGTTTAAAAATCTCAATGTCCAGTTCACATGTCATACTAGACCAAAAACATACAAGCCACATTTTGCTTTAATGTAATCTGTGAACTCAGACTACTGCCTCCAAGAAGAAACTTGACAGGGTTTATTATTGGCAAGAAACATGTAAATCTTATCAGAACTCTTTCAAGGAATATAGTAGCAGAATTTTTGTTTGTCTGAATGTTTATATCCTTCATGCCAGCAGTAGCCAATTAACCCAATGAATGCAGCATATCAAAATTAGCATTCATTGATGAAATGAATGAATTCTCCCTAACAGTGTTCATTCTTTAGACTGCAGTGTGCTTTTTTGGTTTCTTGATGACTTCTAAAAGATGAAGGCCTGACAGTTTGGCATAGACTTTCATGGCCAGTATCTGTTGGGCAGTGTTGGGCTTCAGGGTTTAGTGACCGTGGTCTATGCAAGAGATTTCCTGATGTTTCTCTGGCCACTATGGCTGGCATCTTCAGAGGCAAGGTAGTCTGCTATATAGACCACAGGCAACTTAGCAGGGACTGACTGGGCTTCTGTCTTTATATAAAGATGCCAGCAATAGTTGCCAGTCTCACATTTATATCTTAAACAGGCACCTGAAGACAGGATCATATTTTCGCCACTACAAACCATATAGCCTTGACTGCCCTCTGGGCACAAAGTCATGCTAAAAATTATCACCATCATACAAACAATATCAACAACCAGCCGATAATTTCAAAAGTATATAATATGCCTAAGGCAAAATTGATTAGATTAAGTGGCACATAAGACAAGGCCTTTTCTGTGATGTCCTCAAGACGTCAAACTCCCTTCCAGTCAGTATTAGCTTGACAAGAAGCCTTTACAAACCAATCTTTTTACTAATGCAGCTCTCGAAGAAAGTTACATGATCTGAAGCTTACAAATTGTACTTAATGGTCATACAGATAAATATATACAACATTTCTTGCACCATTATTAAGTCAGTATAAAAAAATAAAAGCAGTTGCATAAATCCAGGTAGCCAAAATAACTTCCTTCCCTTTTTCAGCAGCATAAGCAAATTTGGCCGCTAATGAACGATTGTATCTTTCATTCCACATGCATTACTTTGTGGAGGTTTGGCCCTGAGAAGGAACTAAGTAATGTCTGCACCAACAAGTATCAGACCAACCTATTAGAAACAGCTAGGGAAAAGCTACTTATAAATATTTTTGAGAGGCTCAGGGGGCTGAAGCTAGAAGGCACTGCTTTGTTGTGGCAGTGCAGGTATTTTGGAACAGCCTCCGGACTGGTTTTCTGGAAAATGTTAAAAACTGGATTGTTTCAAAGGGCTTATTTTTTAGGTTTACATCTGATGCCATCTTGTTTTCTTTTTCTTTTCTTTTCCTTTTTTTTTTTTTTGCATTTTTATGTTGGATCTGGTGATTGTTACGATGGTGATATGGATTAGTTCTGACCTACCGTGGGTGTATTGATTTCTCTTTTATATATATTGTAAGCTGTTGAGAGTTGTCCTGATTGTGGCAGGGTGGAAATGTAATTAATACAATAAAATAAAACAATAAAGTAATATATACCAAAACCTTGGAACTTACTGATTTATGAAAACCTTTAGACTTACTGAGTTCGGAGTGTAGCTAAAAATATGTTTTTGCATTGTTGCAAAGCAACTACCACTCTGGACTTAAATCCAGAACTGAACAAATGTATTCACTCTCAACCTCTGAGTGGGCTACCTATATAATGGAAAGACTATCAGTATAATCTCATGTGGTCAAATATTAATCTGTTGGTTTAAAACTGAGTTGCTTTTACATATCTATTGTAATATACATGTGTGTCTGTTTTGTTTCACTGGGATTTTGTTCTTTTTTGGTTAACTGTTATTACACACACATACACACACACATACATGAGCCAGTGTGGTATAGTAGTAGTTCAGGTACTGAATTAGAAGATAGGAGACCATGAATTCTAGACTCCCCTTAGCCATGGAAATCAACTGGGCGACTTTGGGCCAGTCATTCTCTCTCAGTCTAGACCGGAAAGTCAAAAATCATCTATTTACCAACTAGTACAGAAAGTCCCCTAGATACGAACTTTCAAGCTGCAAACTTCCGCTGATACAAACAAGATGAACCCGGAAGTTGGACCAGAAGTTGGGAGAAAGCGTGTCACAAACTAACCCTTTCCTGCCATCTGTTCACTTCCAGTTCTGACTTCCGGTCCTGACTTCTTGCATGGTCTGTTGTGTTTGGTGTGTGGCGACTGCAAATGTCTGCAATTAAGCGCAAGAGTCCTGAAGAGGAGCGGGGTAGCATGAAGAAGCGGTACTCCATTACGATGCTCATGAAGATGGAGATATTGAAGAAAATAGAGTTACAGACCAAGCTGATGGCAGAGGGGTTCAGCTTAATTGAGAAAGCACTATCACTGTTCGAGATGCAGGACCCTAACATGGAGCACTTCACCAAGGTGTCTGCAGCTGTCCATGATGCAATCCAGTGTTACAGCGTCATTTATGAGAAGAGGAAGGCCACCACCCAAAGTTCACTGGACCGCTTCTTCAGGAAGGTAGAAAAAAGTGCTGCTTCAACTACAAAGGACGAGCCTACGCCATTTCTGCAACACTGCCGCTTACGTAAGGTGCAAACTGCGCATTTTTCTTTTTTGCTTGTTGGACTTATGAACAAAACGGACTTACGAACAGCCTCTCAGAACGTAACCTGTTCGTAAGTAGGGGACTGTCTGTACTGCACCAGTATGATAGGTTACAGTCCATAACCTTTAATGAAGGTTATTCTCTGTCATTTGATTTGGGCTGGTGATTTTATACACATACACAAAGAGTATAAATTATACCAACATAAATAATATAAAAATGGAAGAAATTACATGCAAACTATGGAAATAGACTCAATTTAAGATTCCTCCAAAAAAGCATCTTACTGCAGCTTTTCCCTAGCTTTGATGCCCTCCAGATGTGTGAACTTCAACTCCCAATATTCTCAGCAACAGTCACAATGGCTGGGGAAGGCTTGCAATCCACGCAGCTGGAAGTTTCATAGGGGAAAACAATAATGTTTTCCAACAACTTGCTTTTAGTAATTTGCAATACTTTAATTATGCTTATTTCCCTTAACTACCTTTCTTTCATTATAAACAAAAGTTAACTAAGAGCCACTGAATTGGCTCACCATCAAGATCTGTCTCCAGTAACAACAGAAATAATGAAATAATTACTCTTAATCAGTTAATGTAATACCTTAAAAACTTTTGAAAAATTACAAAAGGAACCTAATTTACCAGAAACAGCCAAATAGCTAGCTAGCTCTGTGTGTGTGTGTCTGTGTATTTAAATTAAAATAATTGTTATATTCCCTGTTTAGTCCCAGTGCCTTAGCAGTCTCTGAAACTCAAGAGCCTTGAATGTTTACAGATAATTTTCATAAAGGCAAAACCAACAAATCAATATTACTTTTAAAAAATTACAAAAATACATTTGGATAATGTACACAAAATCTGCATAAGTACATTGGACTATCCTGTATTACAAAATCAATGGTCTAACAGTTCTAAGAAATATTAAATATGTTTTATATAATTTAAAAATCTGGTTGTTTTAGCAAAAAAAAATTTTTTTCAGTGTTTAAAAAAATTTGGTTGTCAGCCTTTTTATGCTGGAGATGTAGTAAATTAGCAGGCATATTAGTACAAATGCTCTGGAAATGTCACTGATGGTTACTTACTGATTAGCTATTATTGAGAGGAAGTTACCATTTAGAGAACTTAACACGCTAAATTGTATTTCTAAAAATTGGAAATTGTCTATTTATGAAGAGCTTGGGATTTGTGTCTGTGGACCCCTTTCTTAAAAGCCCCCAAATCCAGAGAAAGACACCTACATTTGCATTTTGCAATTTAATGAGTGGATCTCTACCAGCTGCCAATACATTGATCTGTGTAACAGTGCTGGGGTGGTTTCCAGAGGGACAGTTTTTAATCCTTTCTTTCTAAAATAATTTTCTATGAGTTTTGAAAAAGTAATGATAGAAAATGAAACAGAAGACAAAAGTGTACTATTCCCTTGCAAAATTATGTACATGCCATAGGGCAACCTGGGAACACGTTAGAATTTGAAATGAAGAGGCTACTGCACATTATTTTATACAATAATTACATTAGCATAAAACCAGCATTCATAACAGGTGGCACTACCTAGCCAATGACACCTGATCTTTAAAAAGCACAGAGTTGGTATTTTATTGTTCAGACAGCTTAGTTTCCATATTACAACTGCACTAATAAAACTCAGAGCTGTAATGATTTACAATGTCATGTTAGTAGTATAAGTTTCAGTTACTAGTGAAATGATTGTCATTTTTCTATCCTTGCAACCTCAAATATTAGAAGTAAAATTTAAAGTAACAATAGAACAACAAAAGGGGTGTGAAAGAGAAATATTTGATTTTTTTTTGGCTGTATTTTGCAATTCTGTATGTGACTGGTCAACAACTGTAAATACATTTTACTTACTAGGTAAGTGTAAACGTAGCAAAGGAGAATGGCCTTTTAAAGAACCTCCCCTTCTCCCTGCCATGCAACCCAGATAATCATTTTTGAAAATCAGCTCGCCTCAGAGTCAACAATCCCATCTGATTGGAAGTTTGAAGTAACTGGGAAACTTGAAATATTTTTTTTCAGATCCTGGCCTAATGATATTTTAAAACAGTGTTTCAAATGCTTCAGGCATATATGCATTACCCCTTTAATTAATGTTGTCTTTAAGAAAAAAACTTCAGTGGGGAGGGGGAAGAATGCAGTAGGTAGCAAGTTCTGAACCCCCTTCTCCAAAACTCTGCAACAATTTTAATTCTACACAGGCGACATACTATCATAACCTGCAGATATCCCCATACCGCTGCTAACACTGTGTAGATACACACACACACACATTCTTATGTTTTTATTACTGATCACGTGCACATCCCACTTTGCAAGTTTTGTCTTTCAAAGCAGTGACATTGGTTTAAAAAAGAGCAGGCTCTTGACTTCAGGTTCACAATGTCAAAGGAAGAATGGAGTGGGAGAAAAAGCAAGAGAGGAAGAAGTTCAGTTCTCCAAAAGAAAGAAAGAAAAGGTATGCAATATATATGAAGTCTCCAGTCTTTTCTATTGCCAGGGTGCATGGTGGCATTTCTCTCACCTAAATACCCTCACTCTGAACTTATAGTTGAACTTGGAACTAATGACAAGGAATGGGTCACTAAAGGTCCCCAGCTTTACTGACAGGTGGCCAAGTGACAGAATGTGTGTGATTGTTCAGTAATAGGAGAGATCATTTCAAGTGAAGCAAAACTCAATTTAGATAGAATATAAGAGAGGACAGGTGTGTGTGTGCGCATGTGTGTGTCCACTATTATTATACTAGTGCTGACAACCAACTTCCAAGAATCAGTGTAACGTTCTTCACTAAATATCGCAATTTCTGCTTTGCTTCCCCTTCTCCAAGGGAACATATGCATCCAGAGCAATAAAGGAGAGAAAAAAAGAAGTCAAATCAAATTTACTTGTTTCAGAGATGAAGCAGGCAAATGTGTGACTATCCACGTGAAATAATTCCCCTCCCCATTTGCTATCTACTGATTTTACAGAAAGTTACCTTGTCATTCTACTAAACGATGTATGAAGTTAATGAAGCTAATATGGTTTAAAAATAGAAAAGTATCTCACAGATTAGTTCCTAGTGATGTTACGTAAAAAGAACTCCGAGTTGGATCAAAAGTCTCCCTTGCCCAATATTCTGCTTCTAAAAGTAACGCCAAGTGCCTCCAGGACGTTGTTTGCTCTATAATGAACCTACACAAGTCAAGCTTCCACCTAACACTGCTGGCTAAGAGCTGCAGACAGACTTATCTTCTAATCCTTTCTTTTTGAAAAACATTCATCTTAATAGTGAACAGCTTGCAGGAACTACATGAAGTTTCACCATCAAGAAAACATGATACAGTACAATAAAATAAAATCCTTCCCACTAAGCCACTAACTGTGAATGATTTCTTCCAACCGTTGAATGTATATGAAATATACTTGTGATCCAAATATATTGCATATATTACTTTCACATTATTACTAATGTCATTTCAGTATCAGGCCAAAACAATAATTTCCCAGGTATTTTTTTTTTAATTTTAGAGTATGATGCATTAATATGCTTGAGTGTTTTATTATAATTTTATTATAATTTTCACTTTTGTAAAACTGAGAGTTATTGAAAACCAGGTATAATTTTTTTTAAAAAAAGTTTTTCTATGCGATTGTTCATGAATAAATCTCATGGAGTCAAGTTTCAAACATTAATTATGCTGTGTTGAAACAAAAATAGCCATTTTTGTCAATCCTAATAAGCAACCGCCCAAATACTAAAAATAGGAAGTTTAATTTTATTTGGAAAATGTTTGAACTACCTTCAGCATAGGCTAGCAGGCCTTCATATTAAACTCATATTAAGGATGAGTTGTAGGCCTTTGGTAGCACCTTAGGAATGCTTGTTGATTCTGCACATGCTCAGGAACTATGGTTGCTCCTTCCTTCCCTAGAACTGAAAACAAGTTTTGTAGTCCGGATCCCCGGCCTACTTACTCACTCACCCCGCTGCTCCTTCAGAGAAATGACGGAGACCATATAATGCGCTAAGTCAAAGAAGGGGAACATGGGCAAGCGAGAGAAGCGAAGCGGTAAGTCCCCGAGGAGCTCCATCGCGACAGACCCTGATGCGCATGCGCCGACACTGCCAAGGGGCGAGCGAAAACGGGAAGGTGCGCTTGCACGAGAAGGGGGCGGGACCAATGGGAAAAAGGCGGGGTTAGAGGGGATTCTAACGCCCTCCCCGTTCTTCCTGGCCTATAGCCGCGGGCGAGAATGCGGCCATTAAAATTAAAAATCCGCCCATCTTTTCTGTCAGGCCAAACCGCCGTCAGCAGGGCGGGCCTAAAAAGGTGTTCGTGCCACGGGCGAAGGAATGATTGGCTCGGCTCGAGTTTAACGTCGTCCAAGTCTGAAAGGCGATTGGCTGAGCTTTCGCGGGGTAGGCGGGCGGAGAAGAAGGAATTGCGGAGAGCTTGGGAGTTGCCGGGAGCGCGTATTGGGGCTGCGGTCGCTGATGGGAGCGGGTCTCGTCGAAATCCGTCGGATGCAGGAACAGGCGTTATTAAGCTGCAGCTCTAGGTTCAGCCTATCAGCGTCTTGGAAACGGAGCGAACATCGTAAAATCGAGACAAAAGAAGCCAAAGCTACAATATAACCGTACTTAGACCATGTAAAAGGGGTCCCCCCTACCCATTTAGGGCATTACAGACTTACCGGTTGATGTCTTTTGGGTGTGTTGGGCTACAAATCCCAGGCAGATGGAAATCTGTCCTGTAACTGCATCGGGTATATTTACAGCCTCGTGTGTCAAGGTTCATTCTGGTCTGCAAAGGGCTAATTGAGCCCAGCCGAGACTGAGGCTCTTTTGCCAAGGCACAGCAGAGCACTGAATAAGGAGTGTGTGTGTGTGTGGGGGGGGTGTTTTGGTGCCTTCCAAGTCAGTGTTGACTCCTGGCAAGTGCCTGGACAAGTCCCTGCAGGTTTCTTGGCAAGGATTTTCAGAAGTGGTTTGCCATTGCCCAGTTCCTAGGGCTGAGAGAGAGGGACTGGCCGAAGGTCACCCAGCTGGCTTTGTGCCTAAGGCAGGACTAGGACTCGCCGTCTCCTGGTTGCTAGCCTGATGCCTTAACCACTACCCCAAACTGGCTCTCATGAATAAAAGGTTAAATGCCTGGAAAGCGGTGGATCCTGACAAATGCAAACCAACTCTTGGTGTGCCTGTTCAGATGCATCACGGTGCTCAGTGGGGCTTTCACCTCGTTAGAAGATTAGATCACTGAAACAAAAAGGAAGAGGTGCTGTAGTTCATTCTTCCTTCAGAGGCCCCTTTTTCTCATTTTTCGAAATAGAATAGCTGTTAACTGGAGATAACCCTATTTTTACCACACACACAAAAAAGATGGATGCATTCATAACTGACTTCTCAGAATAAGAATAGATCATCAAAATTATTTTTGTCACTTCACTAATACTATATTGTGGAACCTATTCAGTGGCTGTGAGTCCCACTGAAGCCCCAAGTCAGATATATTCCTCGCTAAGCTATATAGGTAGCTGTTGTTACAAGATAATTTATCATTGAAATGAACAACTGAGATTTGGAATCTTGGGTGCTTCCCAAACAGGCTCTTAAAATGCACAATAGCAGTTGCCAAAGGCATAATGACCTCTTTTACTCAAGGATTTAAAATACTACTGCATAAAAGTTGAAGCCACTTGTTTAAGATATGAAGTCCAATAAAATATTGGCCTATGACCATAATAACCCTTAACATAACTCAAATGTCATGTTTGTCATTAGGGGAAATTCTCTGAATTTTCATGAACTCTGATTACAGGTCATCTTGGAGATCAGTCTGTAACTGATTAATTATCCTTATTTTTACATAGCAATGCTGAGCGGGATTCTTTCCCCTTTTATTGGATAAGTTGTGATGCCAGTCTGCCCCATAACTGAAAATTGTATCTTGCATACAATACGGGATGCTGAATTTGCAGATGTGATAAAAACACAAAGTCACGTTCTTTGCAGTTCTGCTTGTTATCCACTGAGTGGCATTAGATGTACGTGTAGGAATATAAATCCAATCATGTCTGACTTTTGCTCCCAGGTTGAGCAAGGCTGAGGGGGAGATCAAAGAAAGGAGAAAGGGGTGGACACTGCCAGCTTGAGGTCGAATATGGACCACATTCTGTCTGATCCTAGTAGTGTTTATTTAAGGTAGGACAGTAATTTGCTCACTGTATATCCCTGGACAGTATATTTAATAGGATCAACCAAAACTCCAAAGAACTGTTCATCTGAATGTAAAAACAGGCCTGCTGGATCAGACCAAGGACCATCTGATTTAAGCATTTTGCTTTTCACAGTAGCAAGTCAAATGTCTGGGTATTCACAAGTAGGAGGTGAAAAACTACATTCTTCTCCTACATACTTCCCCTGTGACTGGAATTTGAAGGCATACTGTCCCAATCTGGAGGTGACTTGAGTCTTCAAGACCAATAGCCCTGAACAGACTTGAGTTCTATGAATAATTTATTTTTAAAATCCCCTTTTAAAGCCATCCAAATGAATGACCAACACCATGTCTTGAGGTGATGAGTTCTTTAGGCTAATTATGTACTATATGCATAATTTTACCTGTTCTAGATCTCATTCCAATTAGCTTCATTGAGAGACTCCAGTGCTATGCATGATGTTACACATCAGTGAAGTCCATGCCCCCAGTTGTCTTTTTTCTAGGCTCAAGAATCCCAAATGCTCTCGATTTCTCTTGAAAGAGAACTGTTTGGGTCCTCTAATGTTGATGTTCTCTTTTTCCAGCTGTGTTATATACTTTCTTTTCCAAATTTGGCAGCCAGAACTGTATACCATGTTCCAGGCACAGATGTACTTTATATAAGGACATTACAACATTGGCAATTTTGTTTTGAGTCCATTATGGTAGCATAGAAAAGCAATAGATAAATAAATAAATAATTCCTAGCATGAAATCTGTCATTTTCACAGTTGCCAGCCACACATGGAATCAACACATTCCTTGTGCTATCTACTATAGCCCCAAGGTCTCTTTCTTCGGATTAGACCCCATCAGTGTATATGTGTTTTGCCCTAACGTGCATCACTTTACACAGATTTAAACTGAACCATGTTTGCCACTTGGTTTAAGCATTCACCCAGTTTAAAGAGAAGTTTTAGAAATTTTTCTGTTTGCAAATTTTATTTTCTTCGGTAATTCTTCTATTCCTGATAGATGTAGTTTGGTTTAGTTTCTTGTAATTCTTTCATCAATTGTTTGTTTGGGTTGTTCCAGCTCTCTTATTTTAGCATCCAACTGTTCTCTTTGTTTATTGTATTCTCTTTTTTGTTTTGCAACTAATTTAATTAAAAGGCCCCTTATGCATGTGTGTGTGTGTGTTTAGGTACTATAAGCTTCAGGAGCTCTTCATAGTCACTTGTGTTTTCATCACCCTGACCATGTGCATCAGATCACTGTTTACCCCAAGGCAGAATCATTTATGAACAAGTTAAAAGCACTAGTTCAACACATATCCTTCAGGGACTCCACTTCTTATTTCCCTCCATTGAGAAAATAGCCCATAATAGCTATTTACTTAAAACCCTTCAATGAGGAACTTTCTCAAAGGCTTTTTGGAAATCCAGTTATACAGTCCTGACATACTCACCTCCATCCACATGCTTGTTAACACTCCCAGAAAATCCCGAAAGGTTAATAAGGCAGGATTCCCTTGACAGAATCCAGTTTCCTTCAGTGAAATGCTTAGTTCCTGTAGATGCTTGGGGTTTTTTTCTTTCTTTCATTACTGTTTCTATCAATCTGGTTGAAACAAATGTTAAACTCACCAGTTTATAATTTCTCAGACCTTCTCCAAATTCCTTTTTAAAAGTTAGTGTCATAGTAACTATCTTCCAGACCTCTGGCACTGAGCCTGATTTGAAGGACAAGTTACATATGTTTGCTAGGGTTTCAGCCATTCAATACTTGAGTGATTTAAGAATTCTCAAGTGGATGCCATCAAGACCTGGTGATTTGTCACTGTATAGTTTCTTAAGATGTCCCAGAATATCTTCTCTGGTTGCACCAATTTGCTTTAGTTGTTCTGATTCCCCCCTTGAGAAAATTAGGTATCTGTGAGATACAAAGGGCAATTGCAAAAACATTGATTCAGTTTCTCCACAGTCTCCATAAATGCCTTGAGGATCCTTTTTCACTCCTTGTCCCCTGATGTCTTGACCGCTTCTTAAGATGAATCTTTTGCTCAATAGATAAAGATAGAGAGATAATCCCTTTTTAATTTTGTTAATTTAATTTAATTTTTGTGATAGCTGGGAGAGAGCCCCACACTATTGAGGTAAGAGTTGCTGAAATGGGACCGCTTAAGCCATTCAGTGGTCTTTATGAGAACATTGGCTCATAAAGTGCATGGTCTTTGTTCTCTGTACATAATGCTCAGAATATTAGAAAGAAACAAGATGAGACTGAGGTTACAGAAAGACAAATACGTTGTAATGGGGTTAACAGAGAACTGATGGGATGATTTTGTTGACTGAAATACAGTAGCTAAAGATGTTGTTTCTTCAGAAGAAACAGAAGCAATACAGAGGAAGGAGGAATTATACTGCATGTTAAAACTATCCACTCTTGCTTAAATGAATAGGCAAAATTATAGAGAACATCTGAGTAAAATCATTGGAAGAACAAATAAAAGCAATACTGTTGTTGCTCTTCACTATCATCTGCCTGACCAAGGAAAAGATGTAGATGATCGTTTCCAGAAACAAACTTTCAGTATTCCCACATAGAATCCCCCCCCCCCCAGCAAACTCACAAGATGTTGTGCTTTCATGAGATTTCAGCCTTTGGAGATAGGAAAAGTTGCCATCTTCCCTTTATCCCAATGAGAAATACTAAAATACATCCTTAAGGAAGATTGAATGTTCAGTTTGGTTTTGGACCCACACTGATATGCATGCTGAGAGTTGACAAGGATTAGACTTCTCATTATTTTTATGTCGAAGAAAGAAAAAGAACTTGCAAACAGGAAACAATGTTAACATTATGCCTCCCACCCCGAATTGACCATTACACATAATTGAGCACCCGCCTGTT